TTTCGTTCACCCAATATCCGCCTGACTTCTCTCGCCCCCGACCTCCTCCCTCCCCTGATGCCAATCTCACACTCTTCTCTCTCCCCTGACCTCCTCCCTCCCCTTATGCCAATCTCACACTTCGCCCGACCTCCTCGCCCCCCACAACACCTCCCTCCCATTGCATCCTCCACGACACCGACCTAGCCTACTCCCTCCATCCCTCAGTCCGGCTTCCTTTCTTTCTTAACGCCAGACATAAGACGTGCATTTCGTCTTCTTTCTTTCTGTGGTCAACATAAACCATGCATTTCTTATCAAGATCTCAATAAGGGTGCACGGAAGTAAGAAAGAGAGGGAGAGAGGGAGAGAGAGAGACAAACACACATTTCACTTAGCACACTTCCTCCTCCACATCCTCCCGAAGCTCTTCCTTCCCCTTCACACTCTTTGTCTGTCTGGTCCGCCACCCAAAGTTCATCTCCCTCCTCAAGTTCTTCCTGCTCAACATTCTCCTCTCGCTGTCAATGGATGGCATTAAGATTAATCATCAAATTTACCCCATTCATGCTCTTCCTCCCTGTTGCCTACGCCCACCACAGCACGTCAGTCTTCTCTCTCTCTCTCTCTTTCTCTCTCTCTCTCTCTCTCTCTCTCTCTCTCTTGCGCGCTCAAGAGAAACGAAATGTGTCTTTACATTCAGAGGAAGATGAAATTCACCCGCTAGCTTGGGTGCCAAGAAGGGAGAAAGGAGGGAGGCGCGGCAGAGGGCTAAGGAAGGAAAGAGGGAGGGAGGGCCGAAGGAGGAGGAAGGGAGGGAGGGAGGAGGGAGGGGGAAGAGCGGTGGGAAAGAAGGCGGCAGGGAGAACAGAGGGCCGAGGAAGGAAGGACCGATTGATATTTCTTTCCGCACTTCAGGTGAAGAATGGACCGATCGATATTTCTTTCCACAGTTCACGTGAAGGCAGGACTGTTCGATCTTTCTTTCAACAGTTCACGGTCTTCCTCCCCTGTCCCCTACGTCCGCCACAGAGCATCAGTCCTCTCTCTCTCTCTCTCTCTCTCTCTCTCTCTCTCTCTCTCTCTCTCTCTCTCTCTCTCTCTCTCTTGCGCACACGAGAAGCAAAATGTGTCTTTACATTGAGTTTAAGATGAAATGCACCCG